TTTGAAAGATAGAACAACTGGAAAGAAACTCAACAAAGATGCAGAAGAGCTAAACAATACAATCCACCAACTTGGCCTTATAGACATCTATAGAGCAATTTATTGTGGTTTGGGTGAAAGTTTATAGAGCAAATTAGTTTTCCATTCAACAATGTACACATTTTTTTATATTGTGACATTAGTTAGACTGCCCTCAATGTAACGGCACTCTGTCCACTTTCTCCCTGGGTTCCCTGTTCCCATTTTTTTCTTCTTTCCTGCCCCTTCCTGCCCTCTGAGCTTTGTGTTTGGGCAAATGCTGCTCTTTTGGTCTCATTTGGTTGATTGTTCAGAGTGGTATGTTCCTCATGGATTCACTTTATAGGTCTACTGTTTGGCTGAAAGGCTCCAGGGTGGGTTCAGTTCTATGTTTGAAGGGTGTCCAAGGGCCATAGTCTTGGGGCTCTACCAGTCTCTATCAGACCAGTAAGTCTGGTCTTTTTATGATTTTGAATCTTGTTCTACACTTTTCTCCTACTCTGTCCAGGCCCTTTTATGTGATCCCAATCAGAGCAGTTGGTTGTGGGTTGGCTCAAATAGTTTCATCTTAGTTGTAAATTGAGGATGATAATCCAGGTTTGCACGTGGTTGCTATCCAAAAGATTGGTGGCTTCAATTCACCTGTCAGCTCCATGGAAGAAAGGCCTGGCAATCTGTTTCCATGAAAGAGTACAGCCCAGAAACCCTAAGGAGAAGTCTACTCTGGAGCACATGGAGTCACCATGAGTCCAAATCAACCCAAGTGCACAAGACAACAGCAACAGCCACCCCCACGTGGCTCTTTGGAGGATCATTGTTTATTTGATTTTTTCTTTTTTCTTTAAAGAGTATTGTATGGTAATAGGTGTATACTCTGTCTTGGACAGCAGACATGGGTCTTCAGGTAGGGCCTCTCCTTTTAACAAGACAGAAAATAACAAATGTTGACGAGGATGTGGAGAGATTGGGACTTTCATACACTGCTGGTGGGACTGTCAAATGATACAACCCCTGTGGAAAGCTGTATGGCGATTCCTTACAAAGTTGGAATTAGAAATACCATTTGACCCAGTGATTCCATTACTAGGTATAGATTCTAAAGATTCTAATATAGGACAGGTAGGGCCTGTCCTATATTAGAAAATGCTGTAGCATTTTCTTCTGGCGCTGTTTATTTTCCAGTTAATGAAGGGGAGAGCCACCTTCTCCCAACTGGTTAATTTTGCCTTTGTCCAAGCCAGTTCTTTCCTGAGCAACTGTAACAAAGTTTAACTTCTGATGTACTACTTACTAATCATGTTAACTCAGAAGATATGTATCCACCCCCTATGATACCTTCCAGGAGCCGTGGGAGACATGGATCTGCCTCTCCAGATACCTGTAGTTGAAAGGGCAAATTCACATCCCTCCTAAAGGCAGTTGGGGACAGTGTCCTGAGGTCAGGCAAGCTGTGGAGGGAGGATAGGTTGTAGAACCATGACTTATGTGGAGATCTGGGCTAGTGAACAGTGAAAGTGGTTTTGCTGAGAGATTTTTTTATTGCTCCTGATTAGTTCTGGCTGGTAGCTATAAAGTTTTCTTGTTCTGGAACTAAGCTTCAAACTTTGGTTCTACAAAGGAAGGGCTTTTAAATCAGTGGGTGTGGATTTATGAACTCAGCATTTTACTTTTTGTTATGAGGGAGTAAAAAGGAGTCCAAGCCCAGCCCTTGTTCTCTAGGAGATTCACAGTAGATTTAAAAATGTTTACCGTTAGGTTTAAAATTGATAAGCAGCTCCTAATAGTTTATACCCCTTAGCAGATCCTGAACTCTCTACCTTAATTCTGCCAAGCATGGTTGTTGTTGAATGCCGTTGACTCAATTCTGACTCATATTGACCCATGGGACAGAGTAGAACTGCCCCATGGTTCTTGGCTGTAATCATTATGGAAGCAGATGAGTAAGAACACCCAAATCCTAAATAAAGTTTTGTCTTAAATAATTAATTAATTTATTTATTCACCAGGCCTGCCATCCAGGCACAGTGGTATGTCCTGGGGAGCTTACAGTGTAGTGGGGATAAGATCACTAGAACAGGTGATAAGTGCCTGAGGGATTATGTGAGCATTAGTGCTTTTCACAGGAAACATTCCTCATTCCAATTAGTTTAAAGTGGTAGGGCTTGCTGTCTGCCAGGCAGCCTTTGGATGGTTCTCAGATGCCCCTGGCAGCAGGGAGAGAACTGATCATTCCCTTTGGGTGGTAGGTAAGAAGGCAGGATCCCCTGTGCAGATTGGCAGCACGGCTTACAGAAGACCTTCAATAGAAGGTCCCTGGGTGACACAAACGGCTCTGCTGGCTTAGTGCCTAAGGCATTTGAGTGCTAACCAGAAGGCTGGAAGTTCAAACCCACCAGCCACTCTTTGGAAGGAAGATTGAGCAAGATACTTCCGTAGTGATACTGCCTGGGAAACCCAAGGAGGGGTTGCTATGAGTTGGATCCGACTCAGTGGCAGTGAGTTTGGAATTTGGTGCCAGCCAAAAGGTTGATGGTTTGAACTCCCCCAGAAAGAAAGGCCTGATGGTCTGCTTTCATAAAGATTACAGTGGAAAACCCAAAGGAACAGTTCTGCTTTGTAATACATGCGGCTGCCATCAGTCAGAATTGACTTGATGGGGACGGTTTTTGTTTTTTTTCCCCTTTGCTTAATGACAGGTGCAGTGGAACTTCCAGCCTACGTCTGTGTGTGCATCGGGATGGACAAGGTGGGGAGAAGAAACGTTCTGATCCTCTCCCTCATCTCCAGTGCACTGATTTGTGGTACAATTATGGTGATTCCCCAGGTGAGTTGCAAGTTATTTTACATTACATTCTCTTTTGGGAATGGTTAGTTATACTAAGTCATGGTAGTTTGATGGGAGGATATTGTAGCTTAAAATGAGTATAAAGACCAAGTGAGCTACATGGAAAGAGTATGTACATAATATTTAAAAATGTGTTTTCTTTAAAAAACAAACCAAAACTTTTTCTCCATTATAGAAGCAATGCATGTTCCTTGTAGAAAATTGATTAAAAAAAAAAAAAAAAAAATCCATAATCCCACTTTCCAGAGTTAACAGAATTGTGTGTTGTAAATAAAATAATCTTGAGTTAGGAGATGATACCTTCCAGTGATCACAGTTGTTCAAATCTGATTGTACACAGAGTATAACAGACAATAAAAAGCAGAGGCAAATGGTTCCTGTATTAAGGTGAAGGGCAGGTGCTTTTCTTTAATTTTTTAAAATAATTTTGTTTTCTTAGAATTGTTCTTAAAGCACCCAATACTTGTTATGATTAACCCACTGCCATCAAGTCATTTCCAACTCATAGCGACCCCCTATAGGGTTTCCAAGACTGTAAAACTTGTAAATCTACTGTAAATAAGTAGATTGCCTCATTTTCCTCCCGCAGAGCAGCAGGTGGGTTTGAACCACTGACCTTCTAGTTAACATGCAAATGCCTTACCCACTGAGATTAGGAAAATGATATATTATACATAGCCTTTAAAAAGTTAGGAAAAACAAGCAGCAATGTTCTCAAATAGTTGTATTCATTATATAGTTTATTTATTCAATATTGATTGATTCATTCATTCAGTGAAGATTTATCTGGCATCTATCATGTGCCAGATGCTATTCTAGTTTAAGTGAATGAATCAAGTTTCTGTAAATGTAATGAAGAAAAATAAAATAGAATGAAAACAAAACAAAACCCAACTCACTGCCATTGAGTCAGCTTGCCTCATAGCGACTACTCCTTGAATTTCTGAGGTGGTATCTCTACAGAAATAGATTGTGCAATCATCCTTCCAGGGAGCAGCTGATGGGTTTGAACCGTCAGCCTTCTGGTTAGCAGTCAAATGCCTTAGGCACTATGCTACCAGAGCTCCTAAAAAAAAATGAGGGGTAGAGAATAGCTCTGTGTGGGTGAGGGCAGGGAGGTGCTAATTTTATCTGGGATGGTCAAAGGCTGACTCTCCGAGAAGGTGACATTTGACCAGAGACCTGAATGAGGGCAGAACCATGGAGACATCTGAAGGATATAATGAATCAAATATTCAGGATCGCTCCAATTTAAATACTCTTGCTTTTCATTGCAGTAATTAGTAGTTTTTAATTTCTAGTATGCATAAAAATCCTCAGAGGATTTTTAAAAATGCAATTTATTAATGAGAAACACTGGCATACACTAATGAGATGACTTACACATTCCTATAACTTAGCAAAGTAAATCCCCCAGAATGCCTCTTGCATCCAGAAGTGCCCCTTACCCTGAAAAAAATGTTATGAGAGCCTGTATTTTAATTCTCCATTTGGAAAATAATGGTCACTAATACAATACTCTTAAATATTTTATATCATATGCAACTGCAATTATGTAATTATTAAGCAATAGCATATCAACATTTAAAACAAAGCATTCTAAATTTTGAAGATTGCTTGAAAATTACTGTAAGCCAACCAGTAACTTCATTTTATGGTAAACTTTGAGCTAATTCGGAGTCTCTGGGTGGTGTAAACAGTTAATGCGGCTATCTGCTAACTGAAAGGGTGGAGGTTCGAGTTTACTCAGAGACAAAAGGTGCTCTGGTGGCACAGTGGTTAAAGCACTCAGTGGTGTGACACACACCCCCCCCCCATTTCCCCCCAACTACTCTTCAGGAGAAAGACGTGACAATCTGCTTCCATAAAGATTTACAGTTTTGGAAACCCTATGGGCAAATTCTGCCCTGTCCTATAGGGTCTCTATGAGTTGGCATTGACACAACAGCAGTGGGTTTTTGGTTTGGGGACTCAGGACAAGGAGCTCTCTGCCAGTTTGAGGGATCTTCATCTGAGACTTTTTATTTTTAAAATAGCTTGCAGTTATATTGATTGTGTCAGTGGAAGCTGCCTTTGGGCTTGGGAAGATACACGGGAACCCAAGAGCCTTTGAAGGAGCCCTGGTGGCACAGTGGTGAAGCGCTCAGCTGCTAACAAAAGTCTGCAGTTCGAGCTCACTAGCCACTTGTCAGAAGAAGATGTAAGCGATCTGCTTCTGTAAAGATACCCATTGCCATCAATTAGACTAATTACGGCAATAAACATTATACATACCCATTGTGGATTCTGACTCATAGCAACCCTACAGGACAGGGGAGAACTGCCCCACAGTGTCTAAGGCTGTCATCTTTACAGAAGCAGCCTGCCACATCTTTCTCTG